AAATGCAGCCAATTTGCTTATACAGTGTATATGGCGAGTTCCCAAATCTGCATGGATAATTCAGTGCTTCATCTGCAAGGGTAACTTTTTGTCTTTGTTTTCTGAAGGTGTATGAGGAGTTTGCCTGGAGTAATCCTCTCCATCCGGATATATTCCCTGGTTTGAGGAAGATGGAAGCAGAAGTAGTGAGGATTGCCTGTACGCTCTTCAATGGGGGCCCCAAATCTTGTGGTGCTGTAAGTAGCCTGTATTCAAGTGTCCCATGAACATTTTGGATGTTTCTGACTTTGATTTAAGCATAAATGCACCTTCTATGATCTGGCTGAGGCTGAGATCAAGCTCGTTCTGGTGGATGCCATGCCAACATAGCTGTCCAGAAGATGGTTGCTGATTGCTCTTCTTGGTGAAGCTTTATGAGAGACAGTTTAACCTGGGGAAGTAGTTCTGTAGACAAGACTGTTTGTGCTGCTTGCATCAGCTTTTTTTCCACACTCTTGATACAGGCTTGATGGCAGTTGGAAAAGAGAACCAGAGTAAAGTAGCCTGTCTGGTTGTCAGTGGGGGATAGTGAACAGAGCAGTGTCACTTTGACTAGCTCCCCTTGGTTTTAATCTCTGAACTGGAAATCTGTGAGCCTGCCAGAATGCTAAGATTGAGGACAAGGCCAGCTGGCTGGCTGGTCACCAACAAGCAGCTTGACTTATCGGTGATCAAGCAGGCATGGCACGTATTGTCATCTGTCCAGCTGGAAAGCTGTCTTTCCAGGCTTATGTGGCCTTCCAGTGTGCTGGGTGGGAATCAGTTTTAAAGCCTTGCTAGAGTTCCTAGCGAGAGTCCAGGTGTGTCTCCTTAAATTGATGATTTCAGAGTTGGTCACAGAGCAAAAGTTGTGAACTTGGCTGGTGAATTATTGTTATAAAAATGAATCATGTTTTTTTTTTTACGCTCCTCTCTTGCTTTATCTTTTTGGTAAGGATCCTGAGTTCCTTAGACCAAATTCTCTCCCTGTTTATGTGGTGCATGGGACAGTGAAGTCTTATTTCCTAGCATGGTGGTCAGGTGCAGCTGTGATATACAAACAGGCTGCTCCATAGCTTGCGAGGAAGCAGTTCCGTTTGTGAGAAGAATCCAGATGAGATTTTTCAGAAACTGGGTGTGAGGTGATTGCTGTCTGTAAATACGCTAGGGAGGGAGGCCAGCAGTGGCTAAAGATCAGTATGGGAAGGCAGTGTTGACACAAGAGCTTATGAGGTGAACTGGCCTTAAATGGGCTTAATCTGACAGTTGGAGGCTTGGTTGTGTTAAGGAGGTAAGTACTGGAGTAACCTTGTAGTAGGTGTAGTTGGGACCGAACTCCCAAGTGGATTGAAAATGAAACTTGACTGTGCAGTGTCTGGGAGTATAAGACACGGTTGCTTTTGGTAGCAGGAGGTTGCACCCTGTGACCTCACTTATCTTCTCAGGACTGTGTTCATTGTGCCAGCTTCACGTTTAGAGAAGGAATGTGCCTCTTTGCTTACAAATACCATTTAACCTCACCTCATCTCCTTCCTGGTTTGCAGAACACTGCTGAGATGATCCATGGAGTGGGGAAAGAGGCTGGGTTTAAAGCTGTTGAAACTCATCTTTATCAGCAGTTGAGATGTTAATTGATACAGCAGTCAGATAGTTCTGTGCCACTTAATGTGTGCTTGGAGAACTTTGCTTGCTGAAGCCTGCAACGTGTGCATTCAGTTTTTGTTACATAAAGCATGTGTTGTAAAAGTCTCAACCTTGGCCTTGTGTGCTCTTTCACTGAAATTTAAAAGTAGAATTGCCTAAGAGAAGAGGTTCAGAATGGGTAAAACTGCTCCAAAACAATCAGACAGTGACCATGGCCAACGTGAGACCTCCACAGATGTTCTCTGGGGAATCCCTCTTCTCTCTGCTTCATTCTTCTTCTCCTTTTCAGAGGACTGTGCTGCAAAGCTGCAGCTGAGATTCAAGCAGAAGCAAAGCAAATGGGGAAGTGCGCAACTTGCCACGGAGTTACATTCTAGCTGTTTGAACAGTCAAATGTGCAGGGTGAGAGGGAGGGTTGAAAAGTTGATTGGCTGGAAACAGAAGATTAATTGCATCCCTGTAATTATCTTGTCCAAACTAGTCTCTCCAGTGGACTTTTTGTCTTCCTCCCACGTTGCCCTTCCTGACTGTGAAGAATGTCCAGAGTTGCTAATCATTGATGGAGAGACGTGGGTGGAGATAATGGAAGGCACGTGCTCTTTAAGCAGTTGGGCTCAGACTTTTCTAATTTTCTTCTCCCCACACCAGAATTAACATTTCAGAATTATTTCTAGAGGCTTGGACAATTACAAAGCCATTTAAAAAGAGCATTTTTTTCAAACTGATGCTATGCTTTCTGTCTCTGGAAGGTAGCTGGTCACTCAGAGTGCCGCAGTTACACTTCAGTAACCAATGAGGCTGTAAAACAGAGAGATGGCTAAACCAGGGAGGGTGCAATGCTGTGAGTTATCTTTATCTTTAAATTGATCTGTTCAGGAGACACTGATGGCTTTTTCTACTGAGAAGGCTTCTGGTTTACTTGATTCAACTTTTGCAGTGTTGAAAACTAAAACAAATGCTCTTTTTCCTGAATTTCATCACTGCCATTTCTGAGCAGCAGTGTATCTTAGTGCCAGATCCCTGTCCTCTGGATTTACTAACCAGATTTAAGCAGCTGAGACTGCTTGTCCAATTTTGTTGGTGTCTGGTGATGGTCCCTGAAGACAGATGGAGCTTGTTGGTGTTTCTGAAGAGTGTATCTGTGGCTATGTTGTGTGTGTGGGGGGGAAAAAAAAATGCCAAAAGTTTCTGTCTGTGCTTCTCAGTGAGGCAATTTCACTTCCTTTGTCCTCCAATTTCTATGACATGTTACAGAACAGCACTTTGTGGGGCTACCACTGTGCTGCACAGTCTGGGAAAAGCAGCACAGTGACACATTTGTGCTGTTCCCAGGGCTTTCAGCAGCCTGGGGATCTCTGCGTGGTCCTGCCCTGTGTCATGTGGACATCTTCCCAAGCAGAATCTCTGGAGAGCAGTCCCCTGCCTCCTCTTTAAAGGTTTTCTGTGTGTTTAATAAATGCTAAAATGAAACATGTCTTTTTTTGATTTCTGAATGTTCAATCAGATGAGCAGCTTGCATTATTTACAGGAGTTGCCTTTATTTGAGACTTGGGGGCTGTAATTCTCCTTAGTTTAAACATGGGTGTAAAACCAGTAACAATGCCCTTGTGGTGAGGGACGTGCAGGCTTGCCTTTTGCCTTAAATTGCACTGAGATGTTCCAGGTTTTTTAAGCAGTTTTTAAAAGTAATCATTTTCCACAGCAGATGGATGCTTCCAATTTCTCACTAATTACTACTTTTGTTCTTACTTTTAATCGTGTTACACAAGAGCAAAGAGACAGGAATTGATGATTTTTGGCTCCCAGGAGATTCTAATCACATTCCTGCGATGATTTGGATGAACTAATTAAGCTCAGCACATAGAGGAGGAATGAGGGGGAGTTTGTTCTTGTCTGATATGTGTTCCTGTTCACAAGGTGCTTTATTTTGCAGTGCTGGCACTGTGGATTTTCCCCTCTAATTTGAGGAGAAATCACCACTTTTATGCAAGCTTCGATGATTTTTTTTTTTTTTTAGTAGCTTTTTTGAACTTTAAAAAGAAAGGACAGCTTTGAAGTGCTGGGGAAAAGTCAATGGGGGTGTGTGTGCATGTATGTATTTGATGTCAATCTCTTCTTTGCACTTACTCTGCAGCTAAGGACAGGGAGAGAGGCAAAATCAGCAAGATGCAAACCTAAGCCTCCTGTAGAAGCTGGCTTGTCTCTTCCTTCCAAATTCTGGGGCTTTGAAACTTTGTCGTAGAGCTGGCTGCACGTTTAAAGTAGGACTTTAACAGTGAAATGTGAGTGATGTGGCTTGGGGGGACTTAAGCTCTGCAGATCTGTCAGGTTCTATCTGTGCTGATGAGCAGGTCACCCTGAGAAGAGACAACTAGTTGAATTTAGAACCTGCAGGTTTGCAGGGGTTTTATGTAAGTCTGCCACTGTTTTATCACCATGCAGTGGATTGTGGTGTATTTTTACTCTACTGCTACCTTAGAAATAAATTGTAGTTTGCTTTCTTTTTCATGGGGTATTCCAGCTCAGTGGAACTTTTGGTCAGCTTTGTCTCCAGGGTCTGAAAGGATGTGCTTCCTAAGGTGAAAATGCAAGTAAAATTTGAGAGACCACAAATCAAAATGGTTCTTTTATGTCTGACAGTTTGACAGTGACTTGCAAGTGGCATGGCTGAAGAAATCATAGAATAGGGACTGTACCTCTTACTGCTGTTTTAATGTTGAGGTTCCAGAGTGCTGAGATTTGGAGGGAGGGAGCAACAGAAGGGATATACTGAGTTTAGAAAGCAAGAGGGATATTTTTTCCTTGTGCTTTCTCCTCTCCCTCCCACTTGGAAATTAATAAATAAATCAAGAACAAAAAAAGTCTGTTTGCCTTTTTCCACACACTTTGCCTGGCTTTTGAAGGTAGTGCAAGGTTGTAAGGCTGCTTAAAACTGCACCCTTTTCCCCGTGGTGTTGCTTGAGCCTGTGCACTTTCATTTAGAGGAGAGAAAAAAACATAAATGTGTATGAGCCACTGGCGGGTGCTGAATCACTGTGTGTTGGCCAGCTGCCGGCGTGCCGCAGGCAGTGGGGAACTTGTATCCTGTGACAGTGATTCAAGCCCTGGCTATAGCAGAACAAGTTTGCTGTTGATGGCTAAGCTGACAAAGCCTCCTGTGAAGGAGCAGACTCCCTCTGCAGGTGTAAAACCCCTGGACCAAAAAGGGTTTTTGCTGTTGCAGCTGTAACATGCTAAAGGTGCTGCTGCAGACTGAGCTGCTCTGACACTTCTCGGTGGTGGAGACTCATGTTAGTACTGATGTGCTGACTGTGGGCCAATTTAGGAAGCTGATATGGCTGAAATTCAGCTTTTTGGGTGGATTTTGAGCTAACTGAATAAGCCTTCTGTGTGGCCGTCTGCATGCTGGTAGTGGTGCCTGGGAGGAAGATCTGTGCTGGATGTTGTTCCTTAACCTGCATCTGACCAACTGGTGAAAAGTGTTGACTCTGACCTCCCAAAAACTGTGTGTGGGTCAGCATTTCCATGCAGGTGATAAGCCAGACTTTGAAAAAGGGCTTGTTGTGTATAAAGGTCAGGTGGAAAGATCGAATAAGACTGTTCAGAGGCTGCTTTTTGAAGAGCAAATTATCCAGGTGAGAGTAGAGGTAGAGACTGCTTGCTCAACAAGGAGCAGGCCTGGCGTCACAAGGTGTCAGGTGTTAACTTGGATCCCATCATGCCTAGCAAAGTTTTCACACTTGTTGCAACGTTGCAAGCAGTGTTACAAGTATGCAATAATCCCATTCCTTTTCTCCAACCTGGCCCTAGGAAGGCAATCCATGTTAGACCAGTTGTGTTTTCCCCAACGCTAATAGCTGACAACTTCACAGATCTTTTCATAAGAAGGGTTGCTATGTGAATGACACAGCCCATAAAATCCTTAGGACATTGTGTTCCTGCTACCATTTATTTGCTTCACAATAAATGCAACAATTTCTTTATCCAGTGTGAGGCTCTGTTAGGTTTATCTGCGACAGCTGTTGCTTTTAAACTACCAAAAAAGCAGTAGTTGTCTGTGGTGTGGCAGTCATTTCCACACTGCCTGTGGTGGCAGCTGTTGCTAGCTGGGATCATGTTAGGAACAAATGTGGCAGGCTGTTTTATGTGCCTGTGAACTTTGTTCCTTATCTCTCTACTTAATGTTTAGTCATTGTCACGCAGTCACACTTCTTTGCTCTCTGGGGGTTTGCAGCTATGTCAGCTGGGGAAAAACAAAGGAAAACCCAGACTAGCAGCTGTCATAAGGCACGCAAATGTGATTGCATCCTTTTTATGCTTGTTTTTTGGAGAAGAGGTTAAAAGGGGAAATTACAATTGGCTCAGCAGATCTGAGGATCAAAATTAGTGCTCCATAAGCATTGTAAGTAGCTTTTGATTCCTCTCTGTCACCTGCACTTCTGTATACCTGTCTGAGGTACCTGCCCATCCTCAAGTTATGACTCACCCAGCTTAGCATTCTGGAGGCTGCTTGAAAAACCAACCTCACATTTTACTAGGTTAAAATTTTACTTTGCAAGAGTTTAATTTATTTATTTCCAACAGTTCTTGAGTTCTAGCATGCAGTAGTAAACTTGATTGAACAGCATGTGCGTGTACCTGCCTCTCTTCCACTTTCCAAACTCGCTTGTTCTCATATGGTCAGGGTAAAGAGGACTGGGACAGTGTGGGTAGTGGGTTGTGTGGGTACTGAGGGATTTACTGGGGAGTGTAATGCAGAAATTCCTCGTGGTGTAAAATTCCTTGGGTCTTTGAGGACTTACAAGCTTTGTCCTGGTGTTGACCCAGACCTAGACTGGCCTCTGCAGAGAGAAGGTGGGAGAGGGCTCTGTGCTTTGCAGTGTTGCAGGTTGTGGGAAGGTTTTGTAGCTCAGGAGTAGTGCCAACCCTGAGCTGGCTCTGTGCCTCAACGTGGCACTGCTCCAGACCTAATAAACCCTGCTGGACTTCAGTTAACTTAATACAGAATCAACTTTGTTGTTTCCGTGTACGTGGCATAATGAATCTGTAATCCAGACAAACAATCCCTGGGTAATCAAGAGCTAAGTATGTGCTAGTAATTTCATGAGGTGCAGTCCTGTTTGGCAGCTAGTGACTGTGCAGTATGGTCACCTCTTGTCAGGCTTTTGACTTTGGATATTTTTTTTTTTTGTTTTCCCTTTCCTTCGTGCCTTAAATAGAGGAATCAACATTTATTTAAATGTGCACTTTCAAGCTGAACATCAGAAAGTTACCATGGGCTTCTGCTGCCCTTGAGAACCTAAGCTGGTCCTGTACATCTCTTGCCTCTGAAACATCTCTGGGCAGCAATGCTGTGGCATCATCCTTTTTTTTTTTTTTTTGCTTTTCTCTTCTGCAACATCCATGTAAGCAGTTGTTTTTATTCTTTGCTTCTTTTCTTCACAACAGATGACATCTGGGGGGACTGAGAGCATTCTGATGGCCTGCAAGGCGTACCGGGACCTGGCTTATGAGAGAGGCATCAAACAGCCAGAAGTGTGAGCAATACCTCTGCAGATTGGTTTTTGCTTTGGGACCTTGTGGGATTTACTGTTTCTCTGAGTGGAGGTGGCTGCTAGACCCCAATATTCCTTCATTTCATAGCTCATGAGTACCTCCTCCTTGTCCATCTCTGTCTGAGGAAGAGTAACCTGGGTTGAGAGGAGTGGTACAAAAGCACAGGAACCTTTAAGCAGCCTGGGGGGCATCGATGTTGCTGGGAGCTGCGGTAGCTATGCCGTGCAGATGTATTTTGGCAATACCTGTTTTCTGCTCTAAATGAAGCCTGCTCATTTCCACTTTGGGCCCTTCTCAAGCACAGATTGTCAGGCTCTTTGAAGTGTTTAAGGGGTTTAATTTATTCAGATCAAAGAAGGTTTAGCTTGAAAACTCTGAGACTAAAGTTGGGGCTGGTTGGAGCTGAAATGAGGAGTTGTGCTAATCATTACGCTGCTAATAAAGGATTTGCACTCTCTAACGTGCTGCTTTTTTTCTAGACGGTGCATCAAAAATGTTTCTCTGGTTAATTGCTTATGGGGGAAAACCTAAAGAGAGATGAAACACTGTGGTCTTCATCTTCTGATGAATTCCTGTGGTTCTTTTCTTCCCTCTCTTAACATTTTTGCATGCTATTAAAGGCCTTGTTAAAGATACGATGCCTCGGAAAACAAGATTAATTAAGGCTGTTCAGCCACTGCCATTAGAGATGGGAGACAGCAAATACTATGCTCATTTGGTGTATTTATGCTGCTCATTCCTTTTTTATTGTCATATGCCCCTCTCAGGGAGGGTAGCTGGTTAGAGACAGTACAATATTGTCTGATACGACAAGAAATTAACTTTCCTGGGAACTCTTCTTCCTGGTTCACAGAAGACCATGCAGTAGAATAGAATTACTTTAATCTGATATCTCTGGGTTGAGATCCAGTGTCCATTATTTTAGTTCAAAACAGCACGTGGCTTCTTGTCTGTCTGTCCCAGAGAGCATTTTCCTCTGGGAAACTTTTTTCAGTCTTTATGATTGTTGACTAGATGAAACATGCAGTTGGCCTGTTTGTGACCTGTCTGTCACACAGAAATATCTACAAATTTTATTTTTTTTTTGCCTTCCCCTCCTGTTCATGGTAAGGCTTAGGTGCTGCCTGGGTTGACATATGCAATCTGTTACTTTTCCAGGTTGGTCCCAGTGAGTGCTCACGCAGCGTTTGACAAGGCAGCACACTACTTTGGACTGAAGTTGATTCACATACCGTTGACCAAGGCTATGGAAGTGGATGTTCAGGTATTGCTTTAGGCAGCACAGCACTTTTTCTGTGGGAAATTAGCATTGCACAGCAAATAGAAAGAAATCTACCTATCCAGGTACCAAGTTAGTGGATAGAGAGGGCTGAAAGCTTCCTGGAAATAGTGAAAAACAGCAGGAGTAAGTGCCTGTCATTGCAGATAAGGTTTTGTTTGAAATAATTGAATGTAAACCATCCCTTTGTCCTATGTGATTCATTTAGAATCAAATAATTTATGTATTTAAGAAATAGCCCCAGATTTCAGATGAGGGCAAACAAGTGTGCTCTATTTCCAAGTAGATGAGTTAAATGACTTGGCTGATGTTTGCTGATGCTTGTAGCTCATTGCTTTGCTTTCTGTGGGCTTTTGTGTGTTGGTTTTTAAGACCAGGTGCTGCATATTTTCACTTTTTATCTTTTTTGGCAGGGTGGCACTTGGTAAATGGAATGTGAGCATCTTCTCTCTTTAAATCTTCAGGCAATGAGGAGAGCTATCTCGAAGAACACAGCCATGCTGGTCTGTTCTGCTCCCCAGTTTCCGCATGGAATTATGGACCCGATTGAAGAGGTGGCAGAGGTAGGGTGCCCCTGGGACTTCTAGGTGCTATAGCAATAAAACCAGCATGTCCTTCTGTACAAGAAGGGTTCCATGATGCCAACCAGTGAATTTAGTGGGAGGAGCAGACTGGTTGGGAGGGTATTACTGTCTGCAAATCAGGTGTTAACCAACAGCAGGTGTGTAGGCCACTGTTTGGAAGTGAGGAGGAACGTGGGCCTGTTTTATTTGCACTCTGTGAGAAGGTGGGCTTTAAATACCAGATGTTACCTCTGGGCATTGTCATAAAGCTGTTTCTGGGGCTGCATTTCAGATTTGAACTGGTGCATGTAGTGTGTCACAGCAAGGCAAAAGCAGCAAGCCTTTTGTGCATGTTTTGTCTCTGAACTTTCAAGTCTGTGCCATAAAATTCCGCGGTAACTGAAGATACCTGTTACGTATGTGACTTAGAGGTCAGCTGCACCCACTGCGAGACCAACCAGAAGGGCTCATTCTTTGATATCTAAGAGGAAATAACAGTGAAATAGTCCACCTGTTAAAAAGGCTTTGATTTACAGCCTGTGGGCTGTAACAAACTTGATGCAGAAGCTGGAGGAATGTGTGGAGGGAGTAGGAGTCAAAGGACTGGAACCTTATTTTTCAAACATGTCTCTTGATTTTTCTCTCCATGTTCCGGTTATTTATTTTGTACGTAGCCAGCCAGGGCCTCTGACCTTCTTTTCATTTGGATCACGCCCTTACACTTTATTCCAGGTACTCTCTTCAGTCCAAGTTGTCACATCTCTTTGGCAATTAGAGCAAACTGCCAAAATGTGATGTTGTTTTTCCTCTTGCTGGCAATCTTCAAATATGTGGAAGGCAGGAGAAGACATCCCACAAGTAGCCAGCATTTCCAGATCTCCTATCCTTAACAGCCTGAGAGCGGTATGATGCTCCAGGAAGGTCCAGTAAACATGTAATTGTAAAATGCAGAGTACCTTTTGGCAACTGGAGTTGGGTGCCCCACATTGTTTTCTTGCCTGATTGCGTGTTACTCATCAGAATCTCTTGTTCACACACAGCTTGCAGTGAAGTACAAAATCCCCTTCCACGTTGACGCCTGCCTGGGTGGTTTTCTCATTGCTTTCATGGACAAGGCAGGGTTCCCTCTAAAGCGTCCATTTGACTTCCGTGTAAAAGGTGTGACCAGCATTTCTGCTGATACCCACAAGGTAAGAAAGAGGGGAGAAAAGTCTTCCAGTGCTTTTGTTTCTGGGGAATAATTCCCGATGCCACCCGTGTCTTCAGACATTTCTGCTCTGCTGCGTGGAGGAGTGCTGAAGTGAGGGGTAAGGGCTGCCCTGTTCGCGTGCTTTGTGCAGTGTGCCAAAGGACGGGCAAGTGGCATCTTGGTGACTGTGTGCAGTGAGTGCTTGAATGTGTTCCTGTGTCCTTCTGCTGCTTTTAATGCTTTCTGTGTCCCTTCCAGTATGGCTACGCTCCCAAGGGCTCCTCAGTGGTGCTGTACAGCGACAAGAAGTACAGGAGCTACCAGTTCTTTATAGCACCCGACTGGCAAGGGGGCATATATGCCTCCCCGTCCGTGGCAGGCTCCAGGGGCCTGGTGGCATCATAGCCGCATGCTGGGCCACTCTGATGCACATAGGGGAATCTGGCTACGTTGAGGCTACCAAGAGGATCATTAAAACGACTCGTTTCCTCGAATCAGAGTACGTGTGTGTCTTAGTGTTTTGATCACAGTCTTTAACCTCGTTCTGGACTCCTCCCAAACTCCTTTTGTTTCTCTTGCAATGTTTGGTGGGTTTTTTTGGTTTTGTTTTTTTTTTTTCCTCTCCCTGGAGAAGCTATAGCATGTTACCTGCGGGGTGGGGATCCACCAGAGTTACAGGAGAAAATGCTTTGTTTATCCCCAGGTTGCTGCCCTGTGCCAGATAGCTGAGAGGCACAGGGAAGAGGGATTGCAGGCATCTCTATTTAGCTGACTTTGCTTTGAGAGTTTCTTCTGCCTCAGCTGTGGCTGAGGGGGAAGCTGGAAGGACTTACTGAAGATGATAAAGGAAGGGTTAATACTCTCTCTTGTTGGGATGCTTATGCTGCTTATGTGAGCTGATAAGCTGATCTTTTCTGCTACTCCGTCTTCCCTTGCCTCTCTGTCCTCCCTTTTTTCCATTTCTCCCTGAGTTTACTTCACTTTAGGGCCTCTAATGACTTGAGGAGTCCTCTTGCAAGTCCCAATGGCCTGGGATGGTTGTGTGATTTTTGGGTAGGAATGTGCTGTCGTCTGTTCCCTTCTGTAGCTTGTCCTTTAAGGTCGCAGATAGGTGGACAGTATGCCTGGGCCCTGTAACACTGATCCGTCACTTCTTTTTCTTTTCAAGGTTGAGAAAAATTGACAGCATCTTCATTTTTGGGAAACCTGAGGTGTCTGTCCTCTCCATTGGTTCGGACACTTTTGACATTTATCGATTATCTAATTTCTTAGCTGCAAAAGGATGGAACTTAAACGTCCTCCAGTTCCCATCAAGGTGAGTTTCTGGAGAGAAGTTGTGTAGCCAGGGTACACAAGATGGTTGTCTTCAGGCCACGTAGCTGTCTTGATTTGCTGAGTGGTGTCCATATCTGATAAATTGTCTGTAGACTTTTCCTCTGCAGGGAAGGAATTACTTTTGTAATAGCTGATATATAGCAGTTCCTGCAGTGAGGATGAGGAAATAGTAATTTTAATGAGCCTGGCAGAAGACATATCTGAGGCTGCCTTTCTATTTACCACTGTCTAATACAAGCAAAAAAATACAAATAGCCAGGGCTTTATCTCATGTTTGCTAACTGAGAATCTGTAGAATTATTTATTTATTTTTAGTATCTTCCTGCTGTCCACTGAAGACGAAAGTAATTGAAAGAACAGTGAAGGGCTGATCGTTTTCAGTGATCTTTCCAGCCTGGTGTAAACTGAATATTTGTCAGAGTGTTTCCTTGAATGGGTATTTGTCGTTTTTCTGTGGGTAAAAGGGGCAAATGCTCTCAGACATAGCTGCACTGGAAAAATTTTGGACTTGCAGTTAGCATGAAGCAAAGTCTAGAGAGCCTGAAGCAACAGGTGTGAGTAGCCCCATTCCTTCTGGTAGATGCTAGCTTCCATGCTAATTGCTTATCTGTGCTAGAGAGAAAGGGGAGGGAAATGATGACAAGGATCACTTTGCTTGCAGGCAGCTGTGTTTTTCTCACCAGAGGTACCTGGAGTGAGGTGAGAAAATTATAGGCCTTTAGCCATGTACAGTGATGTCAGGAAGGAAGGAGGAGTTGCTGTTTTGCAAAAGAAGAGCTGAACTCTCCACAGCTTGGTTCTAGTATTTTGCAGGGATTACCTTTAATTGGAAGGGAGTGGATCATCATCTCCCATTATACTACTGACTTTTTTTTTAAGGAGATACATGGTTGTCAATGGCCAGGGAAGGACTAAATTGCTGTTGACTGTGCTGAAAACGTGGAGCTGTACATATTTGAGATGGTTAATCTTTCCCCTCTCCCCTCCCTGCCCAGTATTCATCTCTGCATTACGCAGTTGCACACGAAGTCCGGTGTTGCTGAACAGTTCCTGAAAGATGTCAAAGACAGCATTGAGGAGATCATGAAGGACCTCAATGCCAAGACCACAGGCATGGTAAGGAGGGCAGCATATAGTGAGGGTGTGTTTGGGGTGAGCATGTTTCTCTGATAGCATTAACGATCCTATGTAACGACCTCCTCTTCTTTGCTTAGGGAGCCATCTATGGAATGGCCCAGTCCGTCCCAGACAGGAGCTTGGTAGCGGAGATTTCTCAGGCGTACTTGGACGGCCTCTACAGCACGGATGTTCCTTGCAGTGAAAAGCACATGAATGGCTCTCCCAGCCACCACTGACTGTAGTTCAACAATCGGTGCCTTGCCAACTAGCACTGGGGTGGTTCTAAAGGTTTCCTAGGGGAAGAGATTGCAGTAAGCCTTTGTTACTACAATTGCAGGTCTGATGATGGCTTGATCTTGAAAACTTCCTTTCCCATCTTAGTCTGTCCTGATATCTGCATTATTTCCATACCCAGCTTTAGTTTTAGGGCTTTTCTTTCCTTCCCCCTGCCTATTTTCATCATGACTATTGGTGGTGAATTGAACGTCCATTCCACAACTCCAAATTCCTCAGGTATTCTCTGCATCACTTCATTCCTTGCTGTTTCTTCTCCTCAGACCTGGTATTCAGCTGGTGTCCAGCCAAGTGTTAGATCTGAGTGCTCATAATGTGTTCCAAAGCTTCAACCTTCCCAGAAGTTAAAGGTAGAAAATAAATTGAATATTTTGTTTTCTTTTGAGTATTTCTCCAAGCTACTGCACTTAACAGACTGTGCTGGGAGCCTTGTAGCTATGTAATGCAGAGTTGATAAGTTGGCAAAGGAAAGATGGTCATGTACTCTTTTTGAAATCCCCTCTGGAGATCTCAGTGAGGCTGCAATCAATATCTGCTGGGGATGGGGGGAGGGGGGAACAGCCTAACACAAAATCCTTTTCTGGAATCTCTTGATTTGAATAATAGCAGAAATAGAAACTGAACGGGTGGTGTAGGGAGGGAAACTGGATGGTACTGAAAAGTCTAGGTACATAGAAACTGTTTTGCTTCCCTGCCTCTTCTAGAAGACATGCATTTACCACCTAGAGTGCTTGTACCTCGCGTGATTCTGGAGGGATGTGCAAAACAGTGATTTCACTGTTCATAACTTGAAGGTTTTGCACTATCTCACAATGCTGTAGCGGAGTCAGTCAGACCCTGGCGTGTGTCATGGCTGGGGACTTCACGTGCAAACGGATGGCGCCAAAGCTGACCATTTTTTTAACGTGATCTTTTAGTATTAAAAAGGTGACTTTTGTAATAGTAATGATCTCTGCTCTTTGCACTGATTCTTTTAAGGCACATTTTCAAAAGGGCATTCACCATTGTGCCTTGATGCTTCTCTGGCTTTTTTTTGTGGGATGCCAGGGAGAATTTGAGGGTTCAGCTGTTGACTGCGGCGTTTGCTGCAGTTGTTTTCTTATGGTACTATACTGAAAAAAAAACCTCATAGGCAGACTGACCTCAGAGAAAGTATGCTTGTGTACAAGGTAGGATAGGAGCTGTATTGAGCCACAAGTCCCCTTGACAGTATTATGAAGATGCTGGTGTAGCTCTGAGAGGTAGATGATAGGATGCAGCTAGTTGGAGGTATTCAAGCCTTGGGCATACGGCTCACCCTTCCTATTTTTCTCCACTGTTTTTACTGTGAGAGAGTTTTCCCAGTGCAACTTGTAAGGCAGTCGTGGCCTTAAGGAAAAGAATCTCTTGAGTTATTAAACAACTGTGGAGTCACTCCTGCAGGGTTTTCCCATGTGTTCCCTCTCAGCTTTTCTACATGCCACTGAGAATTTCCTGGGCAGAGTTTAATGCTTGGGAGAAGACTTCATGCCATGTCTGCAGAGTCTTGTGCAGGGCATCTGAAGGCCTCTGTCTCTCTGCCGTCGAAGCTGACCCTCACTGGCTTAACACAGCTGAAGCACACACTTGCACAATAATTACACTGAATGAGAAGGTTTCTTGCCAGCCACTGCACAAACCAGTGCAGCAGCCTTGGGTGATTGTGGGAAGAATACTTGCTTTTTAAGAGGTTTATTCTCAGTGCTAGGAGACAAAAGTATTTTGGCCATCTGCCCTTAAATCGAAGACTATGCATGTCTCTGAGACCCTTTGAAAACATTGCATTTGAATTGCCTGATAGTCTCTTGATGGTGTTACCAGCTCTGGCAGTCAGCATTTATGTTGGACCTATTTATTCTGTTAATGTCTTGCCAATGTGACCATTACTGCATCTCTGAGTTTGCTGTACTTTGGAGAGAGTCTTAAGTGTCTGGCTACTGTGATGGTTCTCTTTTGAACCAAGATTTAAAAAACAAAAAGAAAAACCAAAAAACCACCTAAATGAAAAAGGGAGGTACTCTTTTTGTTTCTGCTTTAAAAGAAAGAGGGGATGGGTTGGGGTGGGATTAAGGAGAAAAAAACTCCCTCCTCTTCCCTGGTTGTGTCCTCCTCTGAGGAAGTAGATGGATCTAACAGATCAGTGCTCCATTTCACATTTTTGGATGTATTTGAAGATGTTATTTGTAAGTCAGTGTATTCCATTTTGGGCTTCACTTACTAGTAATATTTGTGGGTTTAATTATTTTATGTGTATTTGTTCTGTACTGTAAATGTAATCTTCTGGTCAGGAATAGGCCACTGTAATTTACCAGTGTGTAGTCTTTATTCATCCTTGTCATCTAACATGTAATCTGCATCTCCTTTATAATGCCAAATGGTCTTAGAAGAATGGTGCGATTAACAGGCTGTGTAATTATTTAAAAGATAAAAAAAGAAGAATTTTATGGACTGGATTATGATCTGAAGCTGGATGGTACTTCAGACCTGGAGGAATCATGGCAACTATTAATTCCTGTGAGATTTATGTCAGGTTTTCCAAGTGAGACACTAAATTTGTTGCTTGTACCAAAGCACTCCCAAGGGATTTGTGTGCTCTTAGGTACTAGACTGAAGAATATCCAATGGGATGGACCAAGAAGAGATGTGTGTCTTCATGCCATGGATTTCATCTGCACTTTGCTGATGACGTGGGGGAACGAGGAGTGGAAGGGTTGCGTACAACACAATAATATCTTGCCCAATAAATACACATTGACTTTTTAAAGAACAAATGGGACGAGTGCATCTAATGAGTGTTCTGTATTGCTCGAACTTGCCACTGTAAAACCAGGCTGAAATAGCTGAAGAGATGGTGAAAAAGGGCCTAGTTTGTATTAAAATGGTGCATTTAGGTATCTAGGCTCATTGAACTCTTATTTTTCTGTTTTGGTGCTCATTTGAATGAATGGGGACCCCGATTGCTCCTGGCCTTTGCTCAGGCACAGCCTAGTCTGTGGCAGGGAGAATGGTTTATGAATCTTACTAACTCTGCCCCAGGGCTGCTCGTTCATTCTGTCCATGGCTACATCTTGCATGTGATCTTAAAGGATGCTGAAAATTGCCATTTAAGAGCTATGGATTTTTTCTTAATGCTTTATAGAATTTTAAAGAGTTAAAAAAAAGAAAATCAGACCTGAATTGGGTGTTTGTAGTGTTTCTCCCAGACTGTTTTGCTGAAAGCAATTATTGCTGATTTCACAGCAAATTGTTCCTGTTGTACTCAAAACGCAG